GCAGAACATATGTTTCTCATTATTGTGAGTACCCTTGTAGCGTAAACGTTGGTGTCATTGTCGCTCTCAACGGGATCTAGGTTTATATCCTTTGAAATACTTGTTCATTATACCTATAGTAACGCGGAAGCTGCGTAGCCAGGTGAGGCGGCGGTTTTTTGCCCTGTCACTGAAACTTCTCCTCATCGTAACGCGATGATATTATAGATTTCCTGTTGGGAATTATTTCATTTCGTCAGACTTGTAGACCGAATCGTCCAGATGAACTGGATTACTGCAGCGAATGGGTTGGCTCGAGCGGCAAGAAGAGGCGCCTCGCAGTGGGGTGCTTGCCGGGAGCAACGAGGAAGTATTTATGTGTTTTAGATTGATATGGGATAAATAACGCAATAAGAGATGGGAACTTTCATCTGATCAAAGAGGCAGAAGTGGTTTAGTATGAAGCACTACAATGGAGTGTCTGTATGGGTCGTACATCGATCATCTTAGTGTTACTAAGTAGTAACAAGTACTGCTGCTGTCTGTAAGACAACTCGACCCGAGCGAAATCCGTTAGTGTGGGTAGACGAATAGAGCAGCTCTGCGGGTCTATTTTGATTAGTCAGTCACGGTGGCGCTCCAGGAATTTAGTGCGTGAGCAATACAATGCATTCTTTTAGCTCGGTTAGATGGACGAGTCGAATTAGTGGTCAGTTAGCCACACACTGAGTTTCGTAATATACTTTTGTCAAGAGACGGTAAGAGTGGATTCCCGCTTAGCTTCCACCAGCACCAGCAGGATATACCTCTCAGGAGGATGCAGGCAGCGTACCGCCGCAGTTGCGGGCTGGATCCGGGGACTGCTTCCAGGGAGTCTCCTAAGATATCTTCGGGTCCTACGGCCCATATCCGCAGAACATTGTTCTCATTGCTTTTCTATGAACTTTGAACACCAATACCTCCTAGTACGATCTACGTTTATGCGTGACGCTCATCCCACCTGTAAATCTAGCGGTGTGTCTTCTTTTCACCGTACAATTATCAGGAGTGCGACCACGGGTGGCGTATCACCCTGATCACTGGGATCCCAGCGCTATTCGCCAGCTCGTTCCCTGTCAATGGTCCATATTACTAATATTTTTGTTAAATATATATGGTGCATCTGCAGGTTCACTGATTTCAGCGTTACTGGGCCTGTCCTGCGAACCTCAGGGCATTGTTGGGAGGGCCAAGCGACTGACCCAGGACCCACAGCCGAGGGAAAACGATCTTCCTGCGGACGCCCTCCCCAGAGAGGACTTTTTACTTGACAAGTATCTTGATTTGTAGTGCTGTTCCAGGGTATTTGAAGCATTACATGCCCATTAGGGTAAAGTTTGCGTACACGCAGCTGCCGGTCGCGCAGTTGGCTACACTCCCTTACAGTATTGGGTGTGTCAATTGCATTAACTGATTTTCGTGTCTTCAGTAGAAAATCAGAATATACTCTCTTTCATAAGTTGGAAAATTGACATTTACCCAAATTCCTGTGAGCATATCTGGAGGTCCCATGCAGAACCACAGGGGTTACACAAGTGTACTCGGGCTTCCGGCGGTGACCTCCCGAGTATTCCGCCTGCTGCCGCACGGGGCTCTGCGATCACTATTCAATTCTGCATTCCTCGCATGTACTTTCGAAGTAGAAGTAGTGCGTCACGATCAAATCACTGCACTCAAAGGCGGAGTCTCATTGCAAATGTGTTTGGCTAGGGGTTGATCAGTTTTGGCTAAGGGTCTCGACGGCGTCAGCGCCTCTCTACNTTGCAAATGTGTTTGGCTAGGGGTTGATCAGTTTTGGCTAAGGGTCTCGACGGCGTCAGCGCCTCTCTACCGCTCGTATCGCTGCATTCCTTTTGGAAACCGCATCCTCGTGGAACAGTGGATGTAATTTAATTATCCCAAAAGCAGTTTAATCATGCCAATTCCTTGCGAATCGGCAGCAATCGTTCAATCCACTTGCTGTAGACGACAGCCTTCAATGTTGCTCGCGTCTTCCGTACGTGTGAACGACGACGAAATTTAGCACGAGCTCACCCGACATCTATGAATGCCGGCACAAAGATAACACTAACGCACCCGGCTTATGTGAGAAAAGCACAAATTAACGCGAAATAGCTCGAGTTGTGTGAGCAACTGTGCCAACGTAACAGGAAATCACCCGCCTTGTGTGAACATAAATACATCAAATCATGCCCTTAGTGGGGGCTACGTCCTCACCAGCGGCGGTCGGTTCGCCCATCATGGACGGAACGTTCCCCCCGACTCAAATGGAGGAGACTGATCGTTACTTCTTTCGGCGCCGTCAGCAGTTTGAAGCTGCCCTAGCCGCGCAAAAGTCAGAAAGAGGAGTTCGCATTCGGCCTTTGAGTGCCTCCTCTAGTTATCCTAGTGCAGGGGAGGCCTCTGCCTTGCAAGTGAACGTACAAAAAATGAAGTACGTAGGGCCAGAAGCCTTTCCAAGCCCCTTTCCAAAGGACCTTGCCAAGGGATCTCCAGTCGCAGAGGAGTTCGCGAAGCTGTTCACTCAGGCATGCAACAGTTCCACAATATCCTTTTTTTCTGCATTTCGCATCAGAACTGTTTCCGTTTGCTGCCTATCCGAAGGACGTGTAATCTCTGAGGCTGGCCGTTTGCGTAGTGAAGCAGGGACGCGCAGCTCGAGCGCATTCGTCTTGATAATCAGTAGACAGCATTTACAGGAAACAGGAATCGCCGTTATACAGAATCNTCTCGTGCTTGCAGGCAGAGAACGAAATCGCAAGTCTGACGGTACGCGAGGCCGACGAGCTGCGGGCAGTCATTGCAGCTCAGGCGCGGCGCATAGAGTCTTTGCAGCTTCAGCTACAGCAGCAGCAGCAGGTGCTACAGCAGCAGGAAGTAGAGGTACAACAGCAGAAGGCCAATGCCATTCAGGCCTCTTCCCTTATAGCAGAACAGGAAAAGCAGCTCCATGAATTGAGGGCAGAAGCAGCAACTGCAGCAGCGGCACATGACAAACAGAGAAGTCTTCTACTGCAGCGAGAAGCTCGCGCAGAGCAACTGGAAGAACAGCTCGAACAGTGAGTAGGCAACTGCACCAGTCGCGAAGCAGACTAAACGTAGTTCCCTTATTTAGGCCAACGGCCCGCTTCCGAACCGACTTTCGGTTGTTTGATGACATCTATTAACTTGAACGGATTTTCTACTGCTACTTAAATCAAGAATGCACAAAGCATATATAAACGACTGCCGGGTCTATCACTCATCCGAAATGAATACGAGTTTCCAGTACTCTTGATATATGCGGTCAGCAGCTCCCGAGCAGCAAACACCACTGGTTCACACTATTACTGAATAATGATATATATATATATATATATATANATATATATATATATATATATATATATATATATATATATATATATATATATATATATATATATATACAATTATTTGACTTGTGCTGCTGCAGATCTGTTGCGAGGAGCAAGGAGGTCGTTGCCCTGCGGCAGAAAGACGTACAGCAGCTGCAGCAGCTGAGACGGGAGCAGAGCAGTCTGGCACGGCACATTCGAGCAGAGAAGTCGATGGAGAATGCAGCAAAGGAGGCTGTCATTGCTGCTCGGCATGCAGCGGAGTTGCGAAAGGTCACTGCCCAAAGAGATGCCCTAGCAGCAGCAATCAAGAAGCAGTTTAAGTTGATAGAGGTTCTCAAGCAGCAGAAAGCGCATCTGGAGGCGGCGCGCTGGCTGCAATTCACAGAGGAGGAGTTTCTAAAGGTCGTAGACACAGACGGAACATTCACGCATACACAGGTGGAACACCAGCAGCAGCAGCCGCAAAAACAATAAAGGTTTTCATAGCATAAAAAGAATGAGTTGCAGTAGCTGCAGCAGCAGCAGCACCTCCAACAATAGTTGCAGTAACTGCGGCAGAAACATGAGTTTCCACATATACGCGTCTCCCTGGATGCACCCGGTTATCTATGCTGCGACTGGAGTCATTCAACACTTCAGCTCGTTGCTATCTGTTTTCCTCGACTGAAATCTAGCAGTGGAAGATACCTGTGAGAAACCGCGGTAACTAGCGAAATTATTTCTTTGGGTGGATAACCTGACTCAACTGTAGTGGGTTCTGCAACAGACAGGCATTCATTTTATTTTCTTTTTGAGGGGTGATTCAACGCTTTTGTTCNGTAGTGGGTTCTGCAACAGACAGGCATTCATTTTATTTTCTTTTTGAGGGGTGATTCAACGCTTTTGTTCCTTGTCTTCGCATGCAACTGACTGGCTAGGTGTAGTGTCCTGCGGTTCAACATAGGAACCGAAAGGAGTTCGGTTCCTATGTTGAACCGCAGGGAAATCTCCCTTCCTTAAAGCAATCCCGAAATTTTTACCTTATAAATAAGCTGGATACGCCAATTTGCTACACAAATGATGATCCAACAGGCAATAAATAGCCGGTGTAGGAGCTATGCCAGAGTTCGGCCCAAAGGCACCTCTGTCGTGGGACTCAGCCAAGGGCTAGGTGATTGAAACCCTTAATGGAAGGTTGATAACTAATAAAGAACCGAAACGAAATGTTATAAACACTGAGTCCTAGAATAAAGCTGGAGAAACAGGTTTCGGGGCCTACGGGTGTCGGATAACGGGCGACGGCCTCCAACAAAAACCAGAAGAGACCTATAAGGTAGGCCCCCGGATGTCGAGTTGGGCCACTGCAGCCTCGGCTGCGAGTGCCACCAAGATAGCAGTCCCCTATTGCACTGGCTACTGCTTGACTGCAGCCTCGACGGCCTCACATGCTTGTGTCTAGGCAGACCTGGTCTGTATCTTTGAGCAAGCATATCAAATATACTTATTTATATAAGGCTTGAAGCAACTTTTGCCTCTGGCAGCCTCGCGAAACAGCAGCAGAGACGGTCAGTGGTCTTCCATCCAGCCCAATCGATGCAGTGGTGACCGAGGCCTGGCAGCGGTCTAAATAGGGATTTTTGCCGCTTGCATTTACGCCAAATCGGACAAGTTAAAAATAAATTTTCACGAATATCTAACAAACAAAAACAGGGCAGCTTTCCGTGCCACCGCTGCCTCGTTCGTCTGATCGGAGCGGCCAGCTCGTTCGCTGGTCGGTCTACCGCTACCAGCCTTGGCTGGATGTGGCTTGCGGCTGTCAGCTGCCCTCTGTGTTCTGCAGTGGTCGCATCACTCTTTGTTTGTTTAGTAATAAACATTGTGTTGTACGTACATAGCTCTTCTGCTTTAGGCACTTCTCTTTCATACCTTCAGGTGTTTCTCAAGGAAAGGCAAACAGGGTCACTCCCCCGAGAGCCAANGGGTAAGCCCATTTTTACAATACATTGGAGATTGCAAGGCCCAACAACGGGTTTCTGTGCCTCCAGCATTCGTTGGTCTCGTTGCTTCCCTGATGGGTTTACCGGCCGTGCCGTCTACCCATGTGCCTCCCATACGTGATATGCGTGCACGTCGCATGATTTGTGTGTCTATTATTTCTCAGGTCAGTTGATTATTTTGCAGTGAAGATGAGTCGATGTGCAATCAAGCCATTTAGCGCCGTGGGCACAGGCATGACGGCTATAGCCCTCCTGTGCTTATGTGCGCTCACCATCCTCTCGCGAGAGGCTTTGGCTGGATACAGACCTCGCCCGCCTCTTGCCGGTGGCGCAGGCCGTGGCTTCGGCCCCGGAGGGCGTGGCCCCGTTCCCTATGGAGCGGGCGGCCCCGGGCGCTTCGGACCAGGTGGGCAGGGCCCAGGTGGTATGCGCGGTCCCGGTGGCCTTATGGGAGCAAGGGGACCTGGCCCTGTTATTCCACCTAGCCTTAGTGGCCCGGGGAGTCAAATGGGGGTGCCCCCTGCAGGAGGAGCCCACGCAGGAATTCCCGGAGGGATGCCAGCGGGAGGGCGCTTTGACTTCTCTTCCGCCTCGCATTGGTCTAACTTTGGACCCGGTCACCAATACCCCTCGGTACCCATGGGAAATCTACAGGGAGGCCTCCCTGGAGCTCAACTGCCGACCGGCGAAGATATTGCTGGAGGAGCATTACCGGCGGATGATCCACTGACCGCTGATCCATCTAACGACCTGTTCAACTACATGCTGCAAAACGAGGATTCGCTTTCGAACCAGGCACCTTCGACCAGCTGGTTCGCAAGGAGCTTGGACAGTAACGAGTCGAGTGAGACAGCGTCTGCCGAAGGCATGGGAGTAGAAGATGGCAATAGAGACGAAACTGAGGGCGAGCGCGAGAAGGCAGAGAACGACGAAAGCCCCCCGAAAGAAAGCAACGAGAACAGTGTCTTTTTGGCAAAGAGAGAGGACAGTAGGAAAGAACAAGGGAATGAAGAGGCAAAAAAGGAGGCATTAAAGGCAAAAGAGACACTGGCACACGAACAACTGAAGAAGAAACATCATAAGGCAGACGAGGCAAAGGAAGAAGAGGCAAAGAAAGAAGAGGCAAACAAAAGTAAGACAGACGAGGCACTCGATAAAGAAGAGACAGACAACGGAAATGATGACGAAAATGAGGAGGGCACAAGCAGCAGCGGCACACACAAACTGGAATCACACAAGAAAGAGTCGCACGCAGAGGAGTCCCACAAGGAAGAGTCCCATCAAGAGGAGCACACAAGCGCCTAATCAACACCTGGAATGTGGAGCTGAGCAAGATCTACGCGAAGGAGGACGCACAACGAGTGCGAAAGAGACCTGCTCGTACGGAAGTAGCGTCGCTAAGGCGTTGCACGGCAACGGGCTGCTGTCGTCCTGTTCAGTTCACTGTGTTCACTAGTTTTTGGTTCTCGA